TGTCGTTGTAAGTCTTAAAGAGCATGTGGGTTTTACTGGCCTATGTGTATTTTTATTGGCCTGCAAAAAAGCTTTTATTTTAAGATTTTCAATAATTAATATGATTTAATGTATTTTTATATTATTTTACTTTAAATCTAAAAATAGGGTTACAAAAGTGATCTACTACACCCCATGCCCCCCTTTAGACTCAGACAACCAGGTCTGAGTCTAAAGGGGGTGACAGCTTTTAATTGCAGTGATACCTGCAAGCACAATAACCAGATTGTGCTTGCAGGTATCACTGCAATTAAAAGCTGTCACCTTCAGCAAGCTGCCTAATTTTAGCACTGTGTCAGACTTAGGCTACGTTCACACTGCAGGTCTTAATGCTCAATTCCGATTTTTTGATCAAATCCGATTTTTTGTCTGCTCGTTCACACTACAAATAAAATGCGACAGCAAACGCGCTCTAGTGTGAACCCTCAAAGCGGCCCGCATGCGCAAAAGAAGATGTCACACACAACGCGCTCTGTTTGGACCCAGAGCAAACAATATTGTTTGACTGATGGCCCTTAATATAAAGACTTCGGACTTTACGTTTCCCAATTTTTGCTTTAAGTTATTTTGTTATTTACATAATAATGTAAATAACCTAATAATTATCCTTATTGCTGTTTTAGAGAGCGGTACTTCAAAGGATAGTTGCAGATTTCTGTCAGAATCTGCAGATTATACAGTACAAATAAAATGTTCACGTTTATCCAACGTTGTCTTCCCAACAGTTTCACTGACATCTACACTGGATGGCCAGGAAGCGTTCGCGATGTGTTATCGGGCGCTTTTCCAGTGCTGATAATTGGCGTCTGTCTTGTGTCAGTGACGTAAAAGACGGATTTAATGCGACTTGACCGTTCAAACAGCAGTCGCTTTCTAAAACATCGGATATGTATCGGATTCAGTACCACATACGAAAGTGACCCAGATCGGATTTGAAAAGATCGGATTTGTGCCGTTCACACTGTCATACCATGATCGGATATGGGTCGCATAGGGTCAAAAAATCGGATTTGATGCGCTTTCGCCTGCAGTGTGAACGTAGCCTAAGGCTGTGTTCACACTGCAGGCGAAAGCGCATCAAATCCGATTTTTTTTTTTACCCTATATGCGACCCATATCCGATCATGGTATGGCAGTGTGAACGGCACAAATCCGATATTTTCAAATCCGATCTGAGTCACTTTGGCTACGTTCACACTGCACGTGTTAATGCTCAATTCCGATTTTTTGATCAAATCCGATTTTTTTGTCTGCTTGTTCACACTACAAATAAAATGCGACAGCAAACGCTCTAAGCGGCCCGCATGCGCAAAAGAAGATGTCACACACAACACTCTCTGTTTAGACCCAGAGTAAACAATATTGTTTGACTGATGGCCCTTAATATAAAGACTTCGGACTTTACGTTTCCCAATTTTTGCTTTAAGTTACTTTGTTATTTACATAATAATGTAGATAACCTAATAATTATCCTTATTGCTGTTTTAGAGGAGCAGTGCTTCAAAGGATAGTTGCAGATTTCTGTCAGAATCTGCAGATTATACAGTACAAATAAAATGTTCATGTTTCTCCAACGTTGTCTTCCCAACAGTTTCACTGACATCTACACTGGATGGCCAGGAAGCGTTCGCGATGTCTTCTCTGGAGCTGATAATTGGCGTCTGTCTTGTGTCAGTGACGTAAAAGACGGATTTAATGCAACATGACCGTTCAAACAGCAGTTGATTTCTAAAACATCGGATATGTATCGGATTCAGTACCACATGCGAAAGTGACCCAGATCGGATTTGAAAATATCGTATTTGTGCCGTTCACACTGTCATACTATGATCGGATATGGGTCGCATAGGGTCAAAAAATCGGATTTGATGCGCTTTTGCCTGCAGTGTGAACGTAGCCTTTCATATGTGGTACTGAATCCGATACATATCCGATGTTTTAGAAAGCGACTGCTGTTTGAATGGCCATGTCGCATTAAATCCGTCTTTTACGTCACTGACACAAGACAGACGCCAATTATCAGTGCCAGAGAAGCGCCCGAGAAGACATCGCGAACGCTTCCTGGCCATCTAGTGTAGATGTTAGTGAAACTATTGGGAAGACAACGTGAACATTTTATTTGTACTGTATAATCTGCAGATTCTGACAAATATCTGCAACTATTCTTTGAAGCACCGCTCCTCTCTAAAACAGCAATAAGGATAATTATCAGGTTATCTACATTATTATGTAAATAACAATGTTAAGATATTCATTGTGTGTACTCATGTTGTACAGTGTTTAACTGCATTTTGGTTACTGTGGTTTAACAGAGACAGTATTTTAGTTGTCACCACAAGGAGGCACTGTTTCATTGTAAGCGCACGGATGCTGCGTCATCACGCCCCTAAGAAAAAAAAAGTATACCACAACGAAAATGGTACCCATGAGGAAAGTTTTGCCGCGTGTTGATGTGGAATAAAGTTCCCAAAATATTAAGGACATTTTTGCCTCCGTCGTCATTTTCCTTCGAGTTGATCGCTGTCGATGCTGCAATACTCAACAAACAAAATAACTTAAAGCAAAAATTGGGACACGTAAAGTCCGAAGTCTTTATATTAAGGGCCATCAGTCAAACAATATTGTTTGCTCTGGATCTAAACAGAGCGCGTTGTGTGTGACGTCTTCTTTTGCGCATGCGGGCCGCTTTGAGCGTTCACACTAGAGCACGTTTGCTGTCGCATTTTATTTGTAGTGTGAACAAGCAGACAAAAAAATCGGATTTGATCAAAAATCGGAATTGAGCATTAAGACCTGCAGTGTGAACGTAGCCTAAGTTAACACCTCATCTGCTTATTATTTATGTGGCCTTGCTTCTGCAGCTTTACTTTTGCTGTATAAAACAAACGATGGATGCAGCAGCTAAAAAGTTCACTTTTCATCATGAATTTGTTGATCATGTGGTTTGATGCCAGAAAAAAACATTTTTCACTCCACCTGAGCTCACCTTTTCAGCAACAGCTCCGCCTCTTCACTCTTTTGCAGGGCATGCAGGCACCGCCTCCACGCTAAACCATGACAGCATCATACTCACTGCTGATGTTGTGTTATCAGCGTTTTTGTTAAAAATGGAGGCTGCATTGTCTTAATATTGTAGTACATTGTATTAACATGTGTGCTTCTAAACACATTTCTATTGCAGGTCTACTTTTAGTCACACATATGGGTGAAGTGCTTGCATTTAAATGGTAAAGTCAGAGAGCCACAGAGCATGCGTTAAACAAAGCATCAACGCAAAGAATTTGCACTGATGATTTTTTTTTAAATTAAAAGCTCGTCCCAGCTCACTGATGCCTAGTGGTTGACAGGCTCAAGCTCAAGCACACTTATGCTTACACTTATGTAAGAAGACAACGGTCCAAAACACACTAGCAAATCCACCTGTGAATGGCGCAAAACCACCAAAATGAAGGTTCTGGTGTGACCAAGTGCTCCAAAAGGCATCAAAGCCACAAACACAGAAGCAAGAGCTTTGCTAGAGTGGCCGTTAGAGGAACTGGAGATTTTGGGACTCCCCATTTGGCTTCATTTTTCAGGTTATTTTTTTTAATGCTTGATTGGAACCTTTCAAACAAAGATGCCACAAAGACCCAAGGTTTCACAGCAGTACATTGCATTATAATGAGATCGATTTTAATGTTGTGGCTGATTGGCCGATGGCTCAGTCCACTGTATCACTGGCTGATGTGCAGACTTCTCTCGGTGCGCTCCCGCCTGTCTTAACCAGTCGTGGCAGATGACTGTCCCTCCCTGAGCCTGGGTCCTGTTAAAAATGAGTTTTTCCTTCCCACTGCCACCATGTCCTTGCTCATGGAGGGTAAAATGATTGCTGGGGTTTTCTCTGTATTATTGTAGGGTCTCTAGGCACTTGCTTCAAGGCACTTCATATTTTAAGCCTTGAAGCAAGTGCCTTGTTGTGATTTGATGCTATATACATTGAATTGGACTGAATTTGTCAGTGTGAGTACTCAGCAGAGAGTACAACTGGTACAGACACAAACCATGATAACATGCAAGTCATCACCCAGTCACAGCCATTCTGTGCCAGACTGAGTTTAACACTTGCGTATAAAGGAGCTGTGAACACTCACATTCTTCAGCATGTGAACACACACCTGTGACAAATTAAACCATGATATCATTTTTCAAAAAGATTAAAATCAACACTGAAACTTACAAAAATGAAAACTAACTCTCAGCATTGGACCTTATCAAACATTACAATGTGATTTTGCTAAAAACAACTCAGAGAGCACACACCTGTTGTTTGCTTGCTCTCTGGACTTTTGGCTATTTGTCTGTGGCTTTAATAAATGAAGAAAAAAATAACGGATAACCCAAACAGCTGGATTCAACAATGGTTAACAGTCAGTCTGTTTTCTCAATATTATTATTAATATTTTTGCAGAGCAGCAGACAGCAAAATACCTGGTTGAGGGTTTTTTTCCCCATTAGGATTTAAAGCTTGCATTCTATAAAGGAGCCAGACGGTGGGGTTAGTCTCACAGTTTATCAGTTCTGCAGGCTGTGGCCTCATTAGTTTCTTTACGATAGAAATGACTTGTGATTTCAAATTAATTGATCATTTTAGACATTTATATTTTCACTATTACATGTGTTTGCATGTATTTATGTACATGTGTGCATGAGTCAGTACTTGCTTTAATAATGTGCACATTTTCTTTTTCTCTAAAGACCGTCCACGACATGAAGATGTTTTGCTCCTGTCCTTTTGTTTGCTGGTATGTATATCTGGTTGCAGCACTTAGCTGGTTACAGACTTGGTCGAAGGACAAAAATACTCTCACAAACACACAGCCAAACAAGAGCTAACAATTCACAGCGGTCACAAGTATTTAGCAAACAAAAAACGATGTGTATGTGTTTGTATGTGTGTTTGTGAGTGTGCGGAGAGGAATCTGCAAGCACACGCGCGCACGTGCACGCACACCGGGTGCTGCTCTTTTAAATCCACCTGTTCACAGCTCTTCCCTGCGCGCTCCGCTCGCTTCTGCTGATAGGTCTGTCAGGGTGAGAGCAGCGTTTATTGCCGCCTGTGTGCTGTGCACTGTGGCAGGGCTCTTCTCTAACAGCAGCTCAGCGCAGAGGCCGCAGCAGCAGGGCTCCTCCTGCCGCCGCTGAATGGATTACCTACTTATTCACCTTCCCCGAGTGGCTCTGCGTGGACACCTCCTCGTCTCGGCGCCTTTCTGTGATTTCTATGCTCACCGGGACTGCGACCACTGATCATGCACTGATTTGCGAGCAGCTCTGACTTCGGAGTCGCCTCGCTGCTGCTGGTGCTGCTGGGTGGACGCACAGCTGATCAGCCGGAGAGGGGCTTTCTGCAACAAATTGTTGCAAACATTGTGAGGGGCGAAGTCATGGTGCCAGCACCGCCTCGGCTTTCTATGGCACTGTGAGAACTTTCTTTTCATACACCCCTTGCCCCTCTTTCTTCTTCCCCCTTGCCTCTCTTTTGTTTTAGATGTTTGGCTGCAGGATCGTGCTTCCTCGGGAAATTATCCACGTTTCCCTTTTCAATTATGTTCACGTTTGCTGCCTTCTGCTACATGCTGTCTCTGGTCCTCTGTGTGTCCCTGATTTTCTTCGCAATATGGCATGTAAGTACCTTACACTGGGTATCACTGGATGTATTTTTTTTTTTTTTTTTTGGGGGGGGGGGGGGGCTCTTCTTACTCGTTGTTGATGGCAAGGTGTGTGAGTGTATACTGAACTCGCAGGTGTACGTAACAGTGCTAGTTGGCTTTAGCTTTAGTTTACAATGTGAATTTAAAAATTTCCAGACTTTACACATCCCCAGCGACCCAGTTTCACACACACAGAAAGTGCCTGCATCCCTGTGCAGCATCCTCCAGATCAATTAAGCACACTTCCCTTCCAGATCAATTAGGGAATCTTGTAGAACGTTATCTCTCTCTCTTCTCATCTTCCTGCTCTCTTCATATCCTTTTAATCAAACATCGGATCAGCTACACACCAGTGCCAATATGGCTGACTGCATTGTGATATTTGAATAATCTTATTAGTTGCTCCCTGAGCAACATGTAGGGCCTTGTATAAAGACAGATTTGGGTCAGGTCTTCCAGCCTTTTGCCCCGGGTCTGTCTTTTACATAGACCTGATGCACTTGGGGTGACTGATCCTCTGGCAATTCCAGCTAATAGTTGGTGTGTCTGTCTGTCAGACAATGACCCATGTGTCAGCAGAAATAAAGAGTCCTAGACAGTAAGGGTACAGACACACGTAGTAGCACAATTAAAACTAAGTGATCATGCTGAAAACACCTTTATGATTCCTCACAAATGAAGTGTACTCCCCCGTTTGAAGTAGATGTCATGGTGGCAGAAACAGGAGCCAAGTGAAACAAAGCAAATGTATGTGATGTAGGATGTCATGATATACATGCAAAAGAAAAAAAAAGGGTTCTATCGCTTTTATAGAATGCTTTCATCAGAGATATTGTTTAAAGCAAAAACAGAATTGTGTGACATTTTAGGTATTTAAACAAAGTTTTTAAAGGATCATAATGGACAGAAATGTACTCTCGTATCCTTCCTACATAGTGCATTTCATACTGGGCGAGGTACCCAGGCTTTGCCTGAATATCCACCAGGTCACCAGCGAACCACTTAGATGTTGGCTTATGGTTGGACTGCAATTTGGCAGTTTTTACAGCACTTCAATTGTTCCACATTTTGTCATGTTACAAACGTATTTCAAAACTGGTTAAATATTTACATACATGTTATATTTAGGGGGCTTTAACAAGAATTTCAAGGAAACGTTATTACTTTTTCATAATGGGGTATTATGACATTATATCATTCAGCTGAAATTATAATTTAACTATGCATTAGGAACACATGATCTCACTAAAGACAGAAAAGACTAACACCGATGTAGCAACCAGACCCCATAGTGTGTCAGTTAGTGAAATTCAGTTTCTTCCGGTGAAGTAAATAAGTTCATTTTCTTTCAGCTTTGAAGTAAACAACTAAAGCATCTACCAATGTCAGTTTTTTCTACCAATAGGTTATTGCTGAGTGACATTCAGTGCCCTCCATAATGCTTGGGTCAAAGACACAAGTTTTGTAGTTTTGCCTCTGTCCACAGCAACAGTGGACTGTAAATCAACTATCAATATGTGTTTGAAATGCAGGCTGTCAGTTTTGATTAAGCGGGTTTTACAACGTAATGCATGAACAGTTTCAGAGATGCAGCCATTTTTTTAATGAGCAGAACCCAAATTTCACAGGCTCAAAACTGATGAGAGGCTAATATAAACATAAAGATTAAATGTAAAGACTTTGATACTCAGATGAAAAAAAACTTGCTGTCAAAGTCTCCCTGAAGTCTAGAAACCACGAACGTCACCAAAATGTGATGTTTCTTCGTCTTTACATTGGAGGGTTACCTACACACCTGTCAGCTCCAGGGTGATGTGCAGCACACAAACTGCTTTATATGTGACTTCAAAGAACTAAGATATTTCTAGTTTTTCTTGTGTATAGATCGGGAGTGTCAAACATATGGCCCCAGCGGCAAGAATTGGCCCAATAAAGACACCAGTCCGGTTCACTTGATGGCTTTGGAAAATGTGAACTGTATTTTCACGAATTTTGTAACTTTTCTGAATGATTGAAAACCATAGTAATTAACTAATTGATAAAAAATAAATGACAGAAAAGTTCCTTCTTTTTTACCATCCAATACAGAAATTTCTGAAAAAGGTGAAAGATATAGATGTCTGATATACTAGACCATAGATGTCTTCATTTACTTCAGCATTTCTTTGTCTTGTAGAAAAACTGACATGTGATATTTGATATTGCATTTCATTTTACATTGAGACATTTCAGGGATGTGAGGGTTCTCAGTCATCCAGGTCATGGTAATCTAAGGAGCTTGGAAAGAAAAGCAACTGGACTTCTTTAAGTTTCTTGAAGATGTTTCTCCTCTCATCCGAGAAGCTTCTTCAGTTCTAAGACCAAATGGTGGAGAGTCCCGGGTATTTAAACCTAGTGGGAGTTGTCCCTTGGGAGGCCTCCAAAAGTTGATCCTGTTCATCCGGACGTAGCGTTTTGTGGGAGAAATGTTTCGTCACTCATCCAAGTGACTTCTTCAGTCTCAGGTGACTACAGGTTTCCCCAATCTTATAAACAGTACATTTTTGAGAATTTGCATAATTAAAATTAAAGAACTGACCTCCCAGTCCATTGTTCCTCCACTGGGCTGGTTTCAGTCATTATGCAAATGTACTGTTTATAAGATTGGCATCTTTGCTGATTTCATGAAGGCCCAATTACGATGATCACATGTTCTTTTCTTAGAGCTTTCTTTACATGTGTGTTCCCTCTTTTTCCCTTCTGGCTTAGAGGGAACATTTTCTGCCCATTGTTGTAGGGTCCTGATTACTTCAAGTTTGTGTTCCAGAGGGTGGTGGGAGTCAAAGAGGAGATACTGGCCCGAGTGCGTGCAGGCTTCCTGTAAACTCCAGTGTTGAAGTTTCCATTCTCCTCAACAGTCCAAATATTCGCTGGTGAACTTTATGTTTCTATCCACTGAGTGTATGTGAGCAGTGAAGGCTTCTACTTCTTGGGTTTTGATATTGACCCAAGTGTCATCTTTAAAAGAGCCAAGAGCTTTACTTTCCACTTTCTTCATGTTCCTACAAGGCTGGCTACTATACGTGACCCTGGGGAGCCCATGGCACATCCATGTTTTTGCCTGCAGAAACCCTTATTATAAAGCTCTCTAAAGCTATATGCATATGCAACTGCAGAGCTGTCACTTTCTGCCACGCCACAAAAACACATCATTAGTACTTAGAAACATTAAAAAGGTCTACAGAGGGACACGATCCACAACACATCCTTCAGTGTGTTGCCTGCGATGTAAATTCTGCACCAGTGAAAAGAAAGATCACAATTCAACATTTGCGTTCAGCAATAATAATCCAGTCGAAGCCTGCCTTATTGTGCATTCTGCTTAAGGAGGCAGAAACAGTGTGGAGATGCCTCCTCCAATAATTCCCCATTCACATTGCCATACAGACTTGCAGGATAATAAGCTGGGGCTCCATACTGTGAGGAAACATAATTAGGAAAAGGCTGTGCAGTGTGGGGAGTTGCTGAGCCAAAGCTGCATGTTAACACCAGCCACCTGCCAAAATGCTAGGGAAATTTGGCTCAAACTCTTCCTTCACTTCTATCAATCATTTTGGCAGGTGGCCATCTCTCAGTCTGTCTTTGTTTTTCAAGTTCTCATCTGGTTTCAAAGACAAAAGAGAAAAAAAATACTGAACCCTGGTGCCACAGTTGCTGCTTGGCCAAAAGGTTAGTTTTTAAAGCCCCGAGCAGCAGTGCATTGTTAAAAAGAGCAAGCATGCTGAGTCAAACTACCCAGGGTCAAATCAGGCTATAAATAAAACAAGCTAGTGTAAATGAACAGATAAAGACAGAGGCTGTGAAGCAGCCCATACATAAAGTACAATGAAAAGGGAAATAAAATAAGAAGTGAAACACTACAGACTCTGTCAACAGATAACACAAGTGATACACAGCAAATCCTGCATGTCCAAATTAAATCTGATATCTCGAAAACTTTGGACGCTAGACTGCTAACAAACTGACAAACAAACCCCTCCCATGGGGGGGGGGTAACTGTAATGCAAATCGTGTCGGGTTCGTAGCCGAGAACTAGCTTTACTGTGTTGTCTGGGTCAACTTTGCTAGTGAGAGACAAAGAGGCTCCAATGGAACTTATTGTTTTGGAGGAAAACACGAAAAAAGTGTACAGTCGACTCTTAATAGCCTACAACTGGGCTCCTCAGGCACTCTTTTAGGCTGCAGTGGTTATTATTATATCCTACAACTGGGCTCCTGCAATGTCCCATTGCAGTTATCTACTTTCTTTGATGCTATTTTGCACCTATTCTCCAGCCAGTAGTACTTTTGTGTCTTTGGCAGTTGTTTTCTCATCTTTAACGGAGTATTTACCCTTTTTTTTTCACCTCCTCTATGTTACATGTCTTTCTCATTGTTGGACTGAGATGAAGAAATGTTAAATGTTACCATACATGTCCTATGGCCTCCTTAAAGAAGTGCTAAAGTTAAGCTGTTAACCAAGAGGTGATGAGTTTTATCCCACATGTGGGAGCTTTGATTTGCTTTTGTTCAGTTTAGTTTCATTTTGCTTGATGTTGTAAGTGTAAAAGCATGTTACCTGATCAGTCACAGTTTTTCAATGTATTTCAAGCTGGATCCTCAGTTTGGATGTTTCTTTTCTTAAACTTTGAGCTACCTTGCATGTGTTGACGCTCACACAGGTTTAATTATGTAATTTTAGTTAAATGTAATTATTAATTAAATACAATCATTCCCACAATTTTTTACTCCTGTTTGAAGGCTATGGCACATTTAATAAGAGTCAGAAACACACACTCAAAAAAATGCATTTGTCTATTTGGAATAACATATTTTTCTACTGATAATAAGTAGATTCCATTATTCTTGTTGCTGTGGGGCATAATGACATTTAGAACTGCTCACATCAAACCGCAATCAAACTGTTTCTCACATAAAATGTAACTCCACAGTTA